CCTAAAAACCTTTCGAAAACAAACAAGAATTCGCGCCATATCCGTCATCTCTACAAAGTGAGTGATGATGAGTGGGGTGAAGCTGCTATGCTTAACGGTAAAACCGTAAGACATTCGCCCACACATCATATAAAGACTACACATTATTGGGGTAATTGTATATACACTTATATACACGATATTTATTATTTACATATCGATGCAATTATATACGCTAACATAACACAAGATGTAATCACTTGCATATCCGTAAAATTATATACAAGGAGTACGTACATTAGCGATTACAAAGTTGTGGGATGCGTTTTCCTTTGAAGATTACAATTTTGGGGTCGGTGAAGTACGTGACGAGAAAGAGAGAATACAACTTCATCGGCGTGAGATTTAAGAAGGTAAGTGATCCGCCAGGCTAAACCTGGTGGCCACCTCCTCTGCTCTATGTATGGCCTGGAGCTGAACTGTCAGGCTGGTTAAGGCCAGACCATCTCCCACCCCTCTGGCGATGAAGTGGCCAGGAGATCGAGAGAGGGGGATCTTCCCTGCAGGCCCAGAGAATATGACTGAGCGTGGCTTTTGACACACAATGCGAGAAGTGCGGATTAATTGTGTCGGGTAGAGATACGTGCATGAATATACAGGCACGAGAATTAATGTGTTTGGAGTCGACGCCATACACCCTCCTGGCGCTTATAGTTAGCTTACGGTGCGAAGGTGGTTTCAACTGCCTTGGTAGACGGTAATACTGCGTAATGTCATGGTAGGATGTCAGTGCCTCACCAGGGTTTCCAGGATAAGAGGCGGGTATCGCCGCTCGGCTGACGAATCCCCGAACATATTGGTGGGCCGCGACGTTCCCTAGCTTCCCGCGTGAGCAGGCATGCATACCAGCTCAATGGAGCAAGGCGTGTCTTCTTAAGCATCTGTAAGGAAATTGGGCAAGAGCAAAAGCAGCGTTGTGGGGGCCACAAGGCCACACGCGAATCTGAAAATAACCGCCTTTATAAGTATAGTGGTAAATCCAGCTGCTGCCAGCCATAGGTGATCAGGACGTCTTCTTTGAGGTGTCTTTTCTTTTCTGGCACAATTTTTTTTCCTGTATAGCCATAGGTACAGTTCCTACCAAAGGCATGCGCAGGGTTCCCCTTGAGGTGGGGGGGGGGGGGCGAAGGTTTGTCGCAGCGTCCACCTTTCGTATTAAGCCAATGTATGAAATAGACTTTGTCCCCCCCCCCCCCACCTCCCCCTTGCAAGAGCTGGTGTCACAGTCTCGGCAGTGCATTCATTGGGAAAACAGCATCTCTTTCCTTCTTTTCCGAACCACCGTAAGACTTTTTCACAGGAGAGAAAACCAACCATTCTGGCCTGGGTACCGGGAGTGCAAAGGGTGACGTCACAGCCTCGACAGTGCATTTATGGACGAAACAGCATCTCTTTCCTTCAGCAGAGTGACTTGTTGGGCGAGTTGGTTCATTCTTAACGTATACTATGCCGCGAAAAACTTTATACTTTTTCACACGAGAGACAAGCCGCCATTCTGGGCTGGGGAACGGGAGGGCAAAGGCTGATTATTACAGTCTCGGCAGTACATTTATGGGTGCTCACGGATGTTTGTAAACCTGTTAACACCGTATGTTGCTCAGAACGCTTTGCAAAAGGAAGTTGTTCCGATGACACATATACGGCACCGTACTAAGCTCTTCAGGCGGTTCATATACTGTGCGATTAGCTCCAGTTACTCAGAAAAACGTTGAAAAAGAGAAGACTATATGCAGTTGCACTCAACGTAGATGCTGTAAAAAGAGTGGAGCAGTTATGATCGCCATCTCCCTCAGCGACGCTCGCGTTCACGGGCAAGCATGCGCCATGCTTGCGTGTCATACGGGCAGGCGTCCTCGGCCGGAAAGAAACCTACGGTTATAGTGGCACGAAAAAACAAAACAAAAAAAAAACACGGCCGCTGACAGGAAACAGACGAGATAAGCTGTTAGACAAGCCGCTTCTTGTCCGTGGCCGTGTGGTTTTCGCGCTGTTAACCTCAAGTAAACAGTGATGATGGTTGATTTTATTGGCGCAACACCAACTCAGTCCGAAGAGCGCCAAACACTTGTTAGCCTCAGTATGCACAACTAACTAGTTCAGTCAGCTACTTAATTAAGTTTCTGAAAGAAAACGCTTATTTGTGATGCAGGGGCACTATGTCCCGTCCTTCTTTCTCTCCTCCCCCAATGCCCTTTTCGGTATGCTTCCTCTTCCCCTCCTTTTCTTCCTCACTTCCCCTTTCCATCACATTGTTATACTTTACCCTACCTTCCACCTTTCCCTCATCATCATCCTGACATCAATTGTTCTCCCGCTCCACCCTCATTTTTCTATCCAACCACACGCTACTCTACACACCACATGGCTGTGCACTTGATATGCTTCGATTTCCCTTCTTCCAACCTCATTAACGTTATCATCGCTCATATATCACAACTAATCCTCGAATCCATTCCTCCCTTGAATGCTATAATGACTATGCTATCGATGGCTATGTATACGCAGTCTTGCTTGACCCACTCCTCTCTTCCTTTCCCTCCATATCACTCTCGATTCCCTGTACACGGCTACACATGGATATACTATACAAGGCTGTCAGGAGCGTAGCCACGTTTTTTTTTCTTTGAAGGGGGGGGGGGGGGGCACCACCTCTATATCGAGAGGGGCACCCCTTTAAATGGCCATTCTTCGCTCTCTATGCCATAGTGAAAAAAATTTTGAGGGAGCGGAGGCACGTGCCCGGTGTGCCACTCGCTGGATACACCGCTGATGGCTGCGTTCTACGTGATCTTATGGTGTAAATGGACACAAACCATGGAGTGCGGTGGTCACCGATGATGAAGACGACGAGTGAACTTGAAGCAGTCTCCCTCCCGCTTGATCCTGCCGCCCGGCTCTTGGCCGATCTCCCGATCTCTGTGGGCGAGTGCCATCAATGCAAGAGGAACATCATCATCGTCGTCATTACCCATCGGACACATTGTCGGCATGATGATCTGCTGTGTGAATAAATCTATACATCTCGCCGCCATCACATAAGGTGGAGGTGCCTCCATCACAATAATTCTTGAGTGCGTGACGCCATACATGACTATGCCTTCCTCTCCGAAGCTTGTTTCCCATCTCTTCACTTTCCTTTCCCGCACACACTACGTTATAGCTACGTTATTTATAGTTGTCAGTGCGTCACACCATATATGGCTACGCCTCTCCCGTCCTCACTTTTCTCCTCCTCTTCCTCGCTCCCCTATCCGCGCCCTCAGAGCTACTGTACAATACGTGGCTACTGCGTGACACCATACATATGTTATGTTATGCTTTACTCTCTCCATTACCTTTACCCCACCCTCACATAAATCCCCCCTCACTCTTTCTCCGTTCCCCTGACATATACGTAACTATGATACCCTGATTTTTACAGCGAAAGCTGTTGTGAGATCGCAACTCGGGTCACGCGCAGTTGTCCGCCGCCGCCGCCATTGCCGGTGTCCGTAACAACATCGTGCGAAATTAGAAAAAAAAAAAAAAAAAAACCTACCACCAATCACATAATGGGGCTCAAACACGGGTCCGCTGGGTGCCAGCCTAGTATTCTACCACTATGCCGCACCATTTTTTTTTCTCCTTTGCTTTAATGTCTGTACATAGGCGACTACACCAAGACACAAGCATAACAGAAACAAGCAGTGACAGTCCGACGCAAACTAAAATTCTCCAAGTGCTGCCAAGGGTTCTACCCTCGCCAACCACTCAGGCACAATCTCCTGAGTTTTCTGCAGTTCGAAAAACTTGGCCACACATTGACGGAAATGCATTCGTGCAGGCCGTGAATCCTGATCGTAATAAAAGCCCGCCATACGGGCGCGCCGTAAACAGTGAAGGTTACATAACATAATCAAATCAAAAGGCATTCCCTCTTCGTCAATTAGGCAGAAATCTTGTACCCTAAGAATTTAAAGGTAAATCCTTCTTTATCGTCTTTTGAAGTACATCCCAAAAATATACTTCTTACCAAAAATGTAAGAAAACATTGTCTATAGTTTCAGGTTTTTCACAGATAAGGCCTGTGAAGTCGCTGCCTCGACAGTCCAATCAGGGGAACGTGGGGGGAGAGGGGAAAGTCACGCATGTTTCCAACCATGGGGGCCTTCATGCACGTGCCTCCATGTTTTCAACAGCTCCAAAAGGGATGACGATTGTTATAGCGCGAGAACAAAACGATGACACAGAGACAAGAAGAACACGAAAGACACTTGTCTCTGTGTCGTCGTTATGTTCTCGTGCTCTAACTATCGTCATGCCATACCAACTAGCTCAAGCTGCCACACTTCCAAAAGGGATTATAGCGGTTCACAGCCTCCGTTGAGAGTACAGTGCTTTTACAACAAAGGAGCCTTCGAAAGAGGGAGATATTCCTTTGTTTTGTATCACTGCGCCTGGACTAGCGTACTCGCCGCATATTTGTGCACGTGTGCGCTTGACGCGATAACTTGCGGGAACTTGCACGCTCTGCCCAAAGTTACTATAAAAGATTCTAGAATCTATTCTAGTAACGTTGACTCTGCTTTGTCAAAAGTCAAAGTCAGGTATATAAATTCAGATAACAATATTAGTATCTGGGGTTTTACGTCCCAAAATCACCATATGAGGGCAGGGCTTCGGCCACAAAATTAGTCTAATGTTTTGTAAATGACATGCGTAGCCGTATAATATTTTAGAACGTTATAATTTGGTTTTACACTCTGGTTTGTTCTCAGAATATATATATATATATATATATATATATATATATATATATATATATATATATATATATATATATATATATATATATATATATATATATATATATATATATATATATATTCTTATATATTCTTCTATCGCAATGCCAACTGGTAGGTGTTCTGTGGCAATGCTCTATGTTTACACATATCTGCATGACAGTAGACATCAGTGGCTTCGCGGTTGTTGTCACAGTAGTCACATCTTTCGAGCTGTTGCTTTGTTGCATTTTTCTGTGTGCTGGGAGCATCGGCAAGACTGTGCATGTATTTATTAACGGTGGTATGACTGAGCGAGACCAAGAGTGTGTGCGTCGAGCGAGCAAGCTGTGATAATGCCTGGGCATTGCTGTGTACCAAAGTGTCGCGGGAACTATGATGGTGGAAAATGTGTGCGCGTGTTCACGTTCCCCTTGGACCCAGCCAGAAAAACTCAGTGGATCAAAGCCATTCGTCGTACGGACTTCACACCAGGAAAGCGATCGGTGGTAAGGCTAACCTTTCTAACAAGTGCCGTTGACTTCACTTCCTCTACAATGAATAACACCTCGTTGATTAATGTGCGAGGTAACGAGCGCACCTACTCTAGATTGATTAGAATACTTGTATAGCCAATATGCTCTTGCGCTGTCAGATTTTAAGCCAATACAAAGTGACACAGTACAGGTGAAATTGGGCACCACTGAATTTTTCGGGGAACATGCGAAGTATCTCATGCTCGTGCCCATCGCTCTGCTGCCACGAGCATGAGATACTGCTTTTGAACTTGAAACAGTACGTTGTTTTAATGTATTTTTCAATGTCCCAGGTATGCGAACGCCACTTCAAACCGTCCGACATGGTAAACACGACAAGCTACACGGATACAAGGACCGGCAAAGTAATTGATGCAAAGCTGAAGCTGACACGTCTTCGACCTGACGCAGTTCCAAGCCGAATATTGCCAAACTGTCCCACTTATCCTTCTGCCCGTGCTGCAACTGCATCTCGAGAGGCCTCGGATGAAAAGAAAACTCGTCGAGAAGCAGCTTTGCTCCAAGATGCCATCAACCAGTCCATTGCGATGCATAACGAGGAAGAGCGAAATAACAATGTTGATACTTTTAAGGCACTCTTGAACTGCCTCCCTCGTATGAAGGCTTCGAAATTCTGGACAGTTGCTACACAGCATGACTGTGTACTCTTCCTCAACCTCATTGTCGACGATGCACCTGCAATCAAAAAATCTGTAAAAATCACAAAGGACCTTTTTTTAAGCCTGTTCTTTGAAGATGTCAAGGTGACCAAAATTGATGGCATAGACATTCCAGAAACAGTGAATGACATGCGGTGCTTGACACGTTTTCTGGAAGCTGTTGAGCAATTGGATGAGACATCTTGAAGGTTTAGGACAAGATGGAGGACATACTAAAAGCCGTTGTCTCGCTTCTTGAGGGCGCATTGAATCAAGAAATACAAAACAAAGAGCGGTGTGATGCTTGTATTTTTCTAAGGAAACAAGTCATGCTCCCCACTTTTAAGCATGTCACCCCACTACTCTTCAGACTTTCAGGTATTTTTGAGTGTTTTACTTACTATCACTCCTCATGCCTATTGTTACTTAACGAACTAAAAAGGTTTGAAAATGCCTCTTGGGTCAACAATCAGAAGGGTATGCTGCTTGCATTTCTGTTGTGAATCTGGCAGCTGAACAGCTGGTCAGTTCATTTCTGCTGTGTGTGAAAGAGCTCGTGACCACAGTGCAGGATCACGAGAAATCTGTGATACTCATGATGAATGAAATATATATACAACTGTATTTGGATTACAAAGGTGGCACAATTGTCAACGTTGCTAGTAACACTTCAAATGCAGCCGACAGCACATGCATTTATGATGCAGATCCTTCTTTTATCTCAAGAAAATGTTTTCACGTTTTGCCAATTGATAAAATATGTTGAACAGCATCACAGTGTCCCCCCCCCCCCCCCCCGGACCATCATGAATGAGCTCGAGAATTTTGCTCTTTGCATTGTTGCTTTTATCGCAGACAATTCTATAAATCTCACAATAAAGTCTTTTTTTGAAACTTCATTAAAAGCCAGCAGCAGCTCACACCACACCCATCAGAACCGACACGTCCTCCTTTTTTTGTTATTGATCCTGTTCACCTGTTAAAATATGTCCAGAACAATTAGATTGACCAAAAGAACTAAGGAACGTGCATGTTTTCTCCTTCTATTTCGGACCTGCCGAGCAACCAAAAAATCCTTACTGCATCACTAACAAGTTCTCCTGAGGTCCTCTGGGAGCAGTGGCGGCTTGTGCTGCTCAGCTCGGAGGTTCAAGACCAAAAATGGGCTATCCAGCAGGCCAGGGAGGCTGTACAGAGACAAGGTCTCCCGGTACCTCCTTGTGCGTTCTAGCCCGGACCACAAAGATGCCGGATACGGAAATAAAGTTTATTCATCATCATTCAAAACCCTCTATGACCTTCCGGCAAAGGAGCAAAATAACTTGCAAAAACTGCTCCACTGCTCTCAGTAAGAGCTCTCAACCCTTCCGGCATGCCAAGCAGCGATGTTCCGTAATACGCCAAAGAATTCCCATTCAGACACCTGAAAATTCCCTATATTGGGGATTTTCTCTGCAAACGTTTACGAAATTCCCAACATATTTCCTTCCACGACAGTAATAATTTCCGCCCCCATCCACATACCCTATAATTGCACGTGTCTTGCATACTGGCAACTTTTGAAATTATGACTAGTCCCTCTACTGCCACACTACAAAAGCATGACTTTATTAATTTCATTTACTGTTAGTACACTGCGCATTGTGGGCTATAAGTCTAATGCCAACAGTGAACTAGAAATCACTCCGCGTAATTATCAAAAACAAATTCGAAGAGCTGTGCTTGTGGGATGCATGTGCCAAAACCGATTACAGCAGATCAAGGTGCACTGTGACCACCAATTATTGGTCGTCATAGGAGAATTAAAACCATTCCTGAAATGCCCTACGATATCACTAAGATTCCCTTTCTCCCTCTGGCTCAAAATGACTGGTGAAAATTCTCTAAAAAACGGAAAAATTCTCTGCATGGAACATCACTGAATTGCAGAGGCAGAATGTTAGACTTGCCCTGAAAGTGTTCAATCGATCCATGACAGCTGCTTTATGAGCATATGCTAAGTGCTATAACTTGCAGCACGAAATTGTAACTGCAGACTTCCTAAAGATCGTTGAAAACTGGTGGAAGATTATCAATGTTGAGTCACTTAGAAAAGGACAGCTGCTTCGTATGACACTGCAGACTTCAACATCATTATTACTGTGCCGAGTGGAATGCCTCTGAAGCATTGTGCAGTGGCGACGCATGTTGGAGCAGTAGAAGTTCAATAACGGAATTCTCTCATGGGAGAGTCGCAGTGCTTCTCGACTAAGCACAGAGGCATTGGTTAAGCTTTTCACGCATTGCCTCGAAGACCTTGGATTCAACCACGAGCTCCTGAGAAAGTTTGAAATGGATTGTTTAGAGAAAAGATTTCGCAGGTACAACTTTCTGGATCTGAACATCATGTATGTCTCTATTAGGCTGGTATTTGAATTCGAATGCAAGCTTCATCCAAGTGTTCCCTGAAGATGATTCAAAGACTCCTCTAATGAAAACTGACGAGGCGATTTTGCAGAACTTCCAATGTACAAGTAAAATGCTAAGGACTTCAATACCAAGCCTTCCAGCCATGACATAAGTTGCAGGTTACTGTGCCTATGCAGCTTTAATAGATGCTCATAGAGGGTCTTGAATGATGCAGTAAGGACTTTCGCGACTGTGTAACGTGCATTACTGTTGTTATATTTTGTGTTGAAATAGAATGCAGATTGTCTGAAATGTCCATCCCTGCAGCTGTTTCTCTGGAAAGTGCGTAGACGCTTTTAAAACAGTATTTTGCAATCTACGTTCTGTGATCTTCTATTGGTGTGAAGACGCCCACAAACACCAGTTACTGCACGCAATGACATTAGTTGTGCTGGTGAAAATCGAAAAGTAGAACCACATGTAGTTTTTGAAGGCTGAATTAAGGGTTATCTAACAATCAAACGATTATCATATCAGTTTAGAGCTTGTAAACTGCCAAATAAAATATTACTGCATTCTTTCAAGCTTTTGTTTAGTTAGCCTGAAAAAGCACCGCAATCAGTGGAAAACCTTGTGTATTCTAGCAACGCGTATGCGGGCATTGTGAAACAAACTGCAGTGGTTCCACTGGTGCCAAGCGTACGATTGAAACGAACAGGAAAAGTGCTTCTGAGAAGAGGATGTTCTTGCAGTTTTTTAGGTGCACTTAGATGTGTTATTTTTTTTTTCTTGCGAGCCGCACCAGACGCCACGCTCTCATCTCTTTGTGGTAGGCAGGCAGGCGAAAGGGGTGCCAGCAGCACCGCTGAGTGCCTTTTTCAACATGCAGAAAAAAGCTAAAATTACTGTTTGTTACCAGGGAAAGCTACCAAAACTGCATAATGTGCAGTTTTAAGCGTAATATATGTTTTCAAGCAAGATAGGCGATATGTGGGGAAATTTTTCCGATCGCTAGACAGTCCCTAGAGGAGGCTCTTATGCGTTGCGTCTAAGCAAACTTAGTGGAGGATGAAGATATTGTGCTTGAAAATGAAGTAGTAGAAAGCAGTCACAATCCCTAGTGAGTTTCCACACATTAGTACTACCACAGCTGAAACTCTTGAAATTATAGCGAGTCCCTAATCACTGCGGGTTACAATTACATGAATTTGCCGATTCTTTAGTACGAGGATCACTTGATGGTCATATAATTTCGGTACTGCCAGAAGTAGAACATATAGATGGGATAAGATAAAAAAGTTAGTAATTTTTATGAATATGATGGAAACTATAACTAAATGAACAGAATATTAGCACCTCCTATTTCCATGGAAGCCTCAGCATAGTCGGCTGCATATGGTGGTGTTGGGATGTTGAACCCTACAAATCAATCAATTGTCAGCTGAGAAAGTTTGAAGGTATTATTAAATTTCAGTGTGGTGTCTTAAACTTATACTTACCCAGAGCTGGTCTGGCAATAGAAACAAACTATTGAACATTATTTAGTCTTTCATTGTTACTTGTCATTCACTGATTCCACTTTTGAAGGTAGGTGTAAACTGAACAGTAGATAACCTTCGAATGATGCGTCCGACACTACCACTGAGCTACGGCAGCGGTCATTCGTTCATACTCTTTGTAGGGGGCACATGCGCATTTAAATGTTTTAAATGTGAATGTCGGTCAGCTCCGCCAGTAGCCATTATAGCATGTGTTGAGCAGTCTTTTTGCTTGTTGGCCTTGCGTGACATGTGATCTTCCGAGGTGGCAGCTGGCCAATAATCCCTCATATACTACCTGAATGCACCGAGTCAGCCTCAAGGAGACCTTGGTACGAGTGAAGGAAAAAAAAAGTAGATTTTAAGGGCTCATTTTCTTTGTTAGACAATGTCGACGGAGGGATGATTAGCACCATAGCCCACTGAGTTATTCGAAGGCCGCAGGTTCGTTCCCTGCCAGCGGCAAGAACACTTTTCTTTCTTCTCATTTACATTACACTTACTTCTGATGACATCCCTTATACTTACCTCGACATCATTGTGGGTAAGCTTGAGATGTGTCCTTCGTTCAATTTCTCGGTATGCACAAGTATTTTTGGACAATTTTGAGTGGCATCCGTCACCTAGAAGTTATTTTATTTCGAGGGCAGAGCCTGAGAAAGCTCAAAGGGGGCTTTCAGCACATCAGGACATTGACACTACTGTGATGTGTCAGTGTGGCACATACCATCCAGAGTGACGATGCGCAAGTAGCGACGACTTGGACGATCCAAGTGTTCTTATCGTGGCGCCAACTAGCACCGACGCCTGGAAATGCTTTCATTCTTCATGTCTGATCTTCGTCGTTACACTTCAAACGATTTCATGAAATTACAAGACTCAAGCCACCAATAAAATATTGGCAAAACAAAGGAGCATGATTCGATGCGTGTTCCTCAGTCGGCGTGTTTGGGCATTGTTGCAAGCTGCAATCATGATAGAAGTGCAAAAAAAAAAAAAAAGTGCAGCGAGTGTGTCGTTTCCTTAGACGTAGGTGTGTACTGTAGTACACGCCTACATGACCACAAGCTACCATTCGCTATGTGGAGTACCACAAGTTACACATTCGCTACGTGGAGTAGCGAATGCCAAAATATAATTGCCAACGAGCAACACGCAGCTATCGTTAACAGTGAATTTTAGTTTGCCCATACACTTCTTCCTGCTCTTGTGATACTGGATTTCGCCTGCTGTAACCGTGAGACGCTGGATAGGTTGGGCCATCTCAGAGAGTTTCCTAAAATTAACTAGAGGGGACTCTGGCTGCAATTGTTCAGGGACTATAAGAATGTTGGGTAGTACACGGATTTGCCTGCTCTTCGTACTTGTGGGGGGTGAATCGCATTTGCGGTTTCGTTTTTTGCAGAGTTTCGGTTTTATTAAAAAGGAAAGAATGAACCCTTTTGAATTTTGTGACCCAATTTGACGTGGTAAGCTTTAAGGTGGTGAAACGTAACCGTTGAACATTCGCAGATTTTTGTTTCATGACAGAACAGCTCCAAGCCACACGAACACATGCGCAGCCAGAAGTACGAAGATTAGACAAATCCGTGTACCACCCATCATTCCCATTCTCGCTGAAGTGCCATGTGTTGCAGCTCCCATGAACACTAGCGCCAGAGTTCTCTCTAGAGGCATGAAGAAAAACCTGGCAAGCACAGAATTGTTATTGTAGAAATCAGGCTTATTCTATTTCTCTGCTGGTGTGCATTCTCTGTACCAATATTCCATAAACCTCTTTGCATATTCATAATGCTGTGCGCACCGAAACTCGCCAATCAGCAAGCATAGCCAAAGCGTGCATACCCAGGCACCTCGTTGTTGCTGCTTAATACAGTGTCTATTTTTGAATCGATTTGCAAAGGTTTGATAGAAGCAAAAATTATTGAAGACAATCCCAAGCTTCAGACTGATGTATTAAACACCAGTAGACCCTTTTGACTGCATGCTATGCTGGTGACAAGGCATGACAATGTGCAGACGAACTGTTAAAGGATCAGCCTCGCCTCGCCTCGCTCCTTTCTGTGGGAAGTAGTCAGCTGGGGTGCGATCCAGAGGTCACCGCGAAGAAGCGCTAAAAATGGTTGGTTCGCCAGTCATTTTGAATCGTGTTAGATATCTGCAATATCTATCAATAAAATGTAGTTATTCATCCCTCAGTTGCATTTTAGGCCGCCGATCACAACTGGAGGGTCGTACTACTTGTGAATGCAAAAGTCTTTACATGCGTAAATTTAATGTCAGTGATCCTTTAACGCGTCGAGTTGACGGCAATTGTGGTTTTAGTGCTGGCTCTGATTTTATAGCAGTCTAAGAAACCTTACACTTATCTTCCTAAAATTCAGCAAGTAATATTCCATGTGTTGCTGGACAATGCAGTAATACGCTAATGAAGGTTGTGGCATTTACCTCACCACACCTTTTCAATAACGCAGGCATCTGTGCTCTAACATGATTGCTGATACCGATGTCAGACTGTAGACGCAAGTGTAGTTGGCATGTGCCCACAACTACTCCATAAAGAAAATCGCGTGGCTGAGAATATAAAAAAATGCAGTATAAAACTACTGACTGCCTGCTTCGTATAGGCGTGGGATCTCCCGAATTTTTAAGAATAGGGCTTTTCTTGTTGAACAATGCATAATGCACACATGCACGACTTGTGTGTAGGGCATATTGCACATTGCAGTCATGTTCTAATGAGGCAAGGGTCCACTCCATTTCAGTCATGGCCTTGTAAAACAGGCAACACATCAGCAGTGATGCAACATTTTATTTTTTTTAACAATGGCTACCTTACAAGCTGACTCATTTTGTACAACAGTCTGGCTAGGTTGTTCTCTATGAAACACATGGAATGCTAGGATCTATTCAAACAACAAGAAAATATAGCCCAGCTGCATGTAACTGCTAATACTCAACAACTACATGTAAATAACGTGAAAAAAAAAAAGGGGGAGGGAGGCATCATAGCAGTGGGAAGGAGAAACGTGCTACTACATGCAAACGTCTAAAGCATCAACCAAAGTTATCAGCCATGGCGTTTTGTTTATCATTCTCGGTTCTCAATACATTAAAAAAAATAGGTGCAAATCAGCTTAGGGCCGCGCACACACTCCTTGCCCACAAGCTGGCAGCACGTCAGGCGATGGATTGAGATATAAAAAGAGCCCCTAATACCTAAACCTCATCTAAGAGTTTACACATACCATGCACGAATGAGCTACAAGGTTTACGTTTCAGCATCTGAGCTAGCCTAACACGTCCCTTAGCATGTGCTGTGAAGAAACGCTCACTTTCAAAAAAGAACTGTAGAGCCTGGTTCGGAGAACAGACTTTTTCAACAAAAAGCGACACTGGCCGAACTTTCACCGCTGTTCCTTCAGTTTCCACCCACCGCGTGGTCGAGAATGCTTAAAACGAATGTTCTCGCTCAAGTAAGGTCTTCATCAACAATGGCAGTCAACTGCAACTTGTACTTGGGTTGTGCAAGCTGGAAGCAACAAAGCTGAATTCTCTGCAATGTTGACTGCTACTATCAGCTGGCAAGAGGATAGATAGTGGCGCACCCTTTCAGCTGTGCATCTGTCCCACATAGGCCTCTCATCTGGCACATTTTCCGACTGGCATGGCCATTTTCTTTTTACAGATGGACCTGGTTTGCAGTTTAACCGCTCGCTTACCGGCACGCATTTGTCAATCTTTCGAGCTGAACAGAGTTGCTGCGAAAAACTGTCGCGGAGGTACTTGTGGAACTGCAACTTTTGTGGTGCTTTCAATTGCGGTGTAGTTAGATGAACTGCAGGAAAATCGTTCCACTCACCATTTCCTTCATTCACTATTTTTGTCAAACAAAATTATTCTCTCGCTATACTAGACACAAGCCGTATTTGTGCAGACTCATGATCGAAGGCAATAAAATTTGATTAAAATTTTTTTACTGGAAAAGTTATTCCTTTTAAGAACTCTTTTCTGCACGAAGCTCCAGTACGTGCACATTCAGTGGACAGAAAACCCGAGATATGTCGTGAACCGCACATTCCCAAGCGAGTGCTCTATGAATGCCGCAGTCGCTATATATGGGCAGAGGCACAGCTTGAAACGCTTGTAAGCCGCAAGCTCACAAGCGGTGCATCGCTATGAATGCTCGGAGAGCATCGAGTCTCTATGTGAATGAAGGAAAAGAAAGATAGAGCCACAAGAGCACCTCGCAACTCCTTTAACCAGCATAAATGCAACGGCAGGCACATCCATCTGATGACTTCATGAAATAAAGCACTGAAAGACCAGGGACAGGAGGCAGGGTAATGCCACACACTTTTTATCTCCTGTTCCCGATTTTTTTCCTACACTTCATTCCACAATGACTTTGCCCACCACTCAATCTTTTCAAGAACCTTGCATAATGGGCTTGTGTTAAGTAAAGCGAACCTTGTCTGACAAAAGCAACATAGTCTCACAAACAGTTATTGCCGTGGCGATCAGCTCAACACTGCACCAACAACCTACATGGGAGGCGCTCAAACGACGAGGACTAAGGAACCGTGCTTCCGTAACAGAAAACTTCCAAATGCTGGCCAATGTAAATGTCACATGTAAAAATATAGAAAGAGCTCACAAATGTTGACACATGGTATAAAGCAATCATGCAAAGATGCGGTCAGCATGAAGACTTTTCAGTGGAAGGACAGGGCTGCAATGACACTGTGAAACAATGTGTTTACAATATGCACAGTTCAGCAAAATGGAGCAAAAAGGGTCCATTTAACAACTTGCCTCGAAGAGGGAGAAAAAAGAAACTAAAGGAGAGGAATGGGTTTGTTGTTGACTCTTTCACAAAGGGTGAAGAGCAAAGGTAAAACTGCTTAACTAATAGCGAAGTTCACAGAAAATTAATAAGAAAAAAAAAAAGAAGCACTCAGGCTTCGAGGTATCTCTAAAGTACAAGGACAAAGTTAGCCATAGCAACATCGTACACACTTTAAAGATGCCTGAAAACAAAGTGACATCCTTAATCCGCCACGTGTCGGACTAAACAACTCTGAGCACCGCTGCAGTTTCTAACGAAAATGTGTGCGCTGTTAAAGCGCTAAACAACACAGGAACGTGCACATCGAAGACGGGTTATGCAGAGACAGGAAGACGGCGCATGTGAGGTTACACAACATAAGCAGAAGGCCCCTCGTATAGCTCACTCATGAACACTGACAAGGCACACCGGCCCCTTGAATGCAGTCAGCCACCGGTCACACAGCATCACACAGTAACTTGACTAGCACTACACCCAGACTATCAACAATCAAATAAATGTGGGAGGGAAACGTGTCAGAAGGGGGAAAAATGATACAACAAAGTGTGCAGTAAAGTGGCATCACTGCAACAAGTTCATGCATAGAGCAGTCAAAGTAGATAAAATACAGGCCAATGTTTGAAATTTTTCTTGCCTACATTGCCCTTGCACATGTTATACAAAATGCCAACATCAGGCGGCACGTTAGTATAACGCCCTGATCACTGGAAAAACAACGAACTCAGCGTGCAAGGGCCCGCTGTATTATTACAAGTCACCTGCTTCAACATCTCATGCAGAGGTCCCCATGAAGTGAAAAGCCTCGGGCCTTGCAGCGATTAGCACACCAATTCATGGCTGTTAAAATGTGGCATGTCTGTTAAAAGAGCTGCCCCATAGACCGGTTAGCAGTTTTTAAAGATATGCAAATTTCCCGCAAAAAAAAAAATGCCCCAGGGGAAGTTTGTTCTCTTTTAGCCGACGATTGGCACGAATTTGTGAAGGGCAGCAAGAAAAAAAGAAAAGCAAGCTTTAGACTGAAGTTGCCGCCTCTAGGAAAACTGCTTCATGCCAGCAACTACCAAGCCTCAGGGGGCAATGCATCCACATACAAACACATATGGGCTCCACAATAGCCAGCATCAAAATCTGTACAACACTTTAAAGGCACTCAAACTTAGTTATGCGAACAATAGGCTCATTCGGTGCACAGTGACATATGCCGTGACAAGGTTGCATCATCAGACACCGAAAAATAGCCTTGAACAGCGCTTCCTACTGAATTGCTCACTGTCCTGCACTTATTAGGTGCCTGCAACAACCAGAAAAAGTATTAAGAGCCAGCTAGGCATCAGTCTGTAGGAAGGCAACGACATACCTTCCACCTCACCTGCTCTCTGCACACAATGCACACAGAAGAGAGAAAAAACACACACACACAAACAGCACAGCAGACGTTTTATGAAATTTCTGCGGGTGCAATGCATCTCGTATTCTTTGTCCGCTGCTGCGAGAATCGTGACAGTATTAAAGCAATTTTCGACACCTCAGTTCAATGCAGCACGATGTTTTCTGTTTGCCTTGCAATCTATCATCGCAGTTTTGAAGCTATGAAAATCTATGAAAAAATTATGCAGACAAAAGACAGAGAGAGAGAGGGGGGGGGTCCTTAGGATAGTTACAGCAATCTTGCTGGCCCACATAAGTAGCAACGGGGCTTTTGGTTGGGAATGCGGGCGCTGACACTACCTCATCCTGATACAATTTCAAACTGAAAAGACACCGCACACACTGTCAGATGTACAGTGTCAATTTTTATGAAAGGGAACACAAGAACGCGATGCCAGCAGCCACCGGAGCGCGCAAGCCACGCGTCGCCGTGTTCCCTTTAATAAAAATTGACACTGTACATTTGCAATACAGCAGGTGCGCGTACCTTTCTGCCAAGAACAGAGCTATCATTCTCGTCGATTCTCCTAATGTGCAAAAAAACAACGTGCAGAACAACTCCGCAGGAGCATCACTACTCTAAGGACTTTCCTACAATCATTTTACTCCGAGGAATTTACTACACTCACCGTTCTTAAAGTGAACAAAGGGCCAAACATCATCACAAGCACTCCTTTCTCTCTTTCTCAAGAAATTCACAATCTCTGTCGAGGAGCTATGCATAGCAATTCGCAGGCAGTTCTAGCAATAATAATTAATCTCTACCTGCCGATGCAAAAAAAGCAATAAAAATATGTCGCATCAATTCTTGACAAAATAATAGTGGTACTTCTGCTTTCACAAAAGAGTAAAGCATTCTCTGTTAGCAGCTGCACTGAGGTAACATTTTGGTCACTGCTGTTGAAAAAAAAAAAAAAGCAGTGCAAGAGCAGACTGCGATATCGTAGACAAGGACATACAAAAGAATTATACAGAGAAATTAAGATCTTGCACAAGGTGTCGGCTGTCTTGACTTTCAATGGTTATATACAGGCAATAATAGCCCTTAAAAGCACGCACAACCTCCAACAGTATTCGTTCAATTTTAGAAGCTTTTGTCCCTAACGAAATGACACCCGTATCCAACAGTTGAACCTGTACACACTATGCATTTCTATGTTTGCTTAGTGTCGCAAGCACAGACTTCAGCCAAGTAAGAGATCCTAAAGATAAGCTAGAGCAACGAAGAGATGAAGCATAAAAGGTGGCTTAGCTTGATAAACAATACCCGTTACCGACACTTCTCGTTTAACATCCTTTTTAACAGAGTACAAGGTTGAGCGACGGTGTGTAAACAGTTGTAGTCATCTTATTATGCTGTTTCAACTCTGAAATCACAGGGTGTGACAAGTGCGTTGGGAAACGGCAACAGACTATGAAAAAACGAAATCATGCAGATTGCACCGGCCCTCGACACTCATGCAGACGAGCACGTTGTATAGAGCGCCCGAGCAAGTTCATTCACAGTATTCAACTAAGTTCATGCTCAGACACCCATAGTACCACCACGAAATGGAGGTGACTGCACCAGCTTAAACACTTGCAGCTCACAAAAGAATGATGCCATTTGCTGGAAATCAAGTACAATGTGCGAGATGACATAAGCGGTCATAAACAACGTGAAGGCAAAGTGCTCAACAGGCAAACTAAGCCTCAATGCGTAAAAAAAGAAAAGCACATTTACATTCACGCACACACACAAAAAAAACGAAATACCAGGCAATATTCATCATGTCGACCTGCTCGCCTTCAGACTTGATCGCCATCACTAGTAGCATGCTGTGTTTAGGCAATGAAAAGTTTTGAACGGCAGCTTCGAAGTCGCAGATATGAAGGCTCGCTGACTGAAGAGCAAGAGTGGTTTGAGGCACATGCTCGAAAGGATGTGAGCACGCAATGCTTTCTAGCAGCCACGACTAACCGTTTGCTATGGTCAGCCTTTTGTCTTGTGTCGCTCGCTTCGCAACAATTTTCACACACTGTTGCCAAAGGCAACAACTCGTCAAACATGCTTTTAGCACTGCTTTGATCTTTTTCTTGCACGTTAAAAGAAAAAAAATATAAAAATGCAGCGCAGGCTGGTCTGACAGGTCAGATCCCGAGTGCAACTGTTCAGTCTTTGAAAACCACTCAGCTATGCTCTGTCGGTTGCTGACGTGGCTGGTATCGAGCGTTAAAGGAGTTGCGACTCTCAGAGTCCGTGGGTAAGGAGGAAAAAAAGGACTGCAGTCTACCAAAGTGCAACTTTGCCAAGAAAGGACATTGTTGAGCCAAAAGCGACATACATGCACAGCAGACTTGTCCACGGAAAAAAAAAAAAAAAAGAAAATAGACAGTAAGCCAAAGAAAAAGGACGTGCATCTCTCTCTCCATAATCAGGACGAAATCATTCGATTTCATGCACTTGCCCTCTAACAATAATAATAATAAAAAAAACGAAGGCACACAAAAGAATGAAGGAGAAATTTACAATGCTACTTTTGTAAGGGTAAAAAAAATAAAAAGAAAGGGAAAAGAATATCTGGAGGAGAGAGAGGAGGCAGAATACACGGCGCCACAGGGCACAGATATGACGGTCCGCCCGGCAGATTCCTCTGAGTGCCGGTCTCGTTCCACGACCTTACCACACGGCCCAGTTGATGGAAGGGGGATATGCACGCCTCTCTGATGGTGTCACTGGCGATGAAGACCGATGCGATATTCCTCACCGGCTCGGTTCCTCAGCTGCAGCGGCATTTGCGGGGGAAGACGTCTCTGTCGTCGCCGTGTCGACGGGACTGCCGTTTGTCACTGCACTACTGGACTGTGCCACGGCACCACCGTTACAACAAGAGTCTGATGGCTCCTTCGTAGTGGCTGCCTCATTGGCGGAGGCAGCTGTGGACTTCTCGGCGAGAGCCAGCTGCTGACGGCGTTCCAACTCGGCTTTGAAGTTCTCGATGTCCTGTGGACTGTTCCAGAGAGAAAATTATTTTTTTTTTACAAATTAGACAACAACGAACCATGGTTTCAGCTAAAGTCAAGCTGAAATTTGGCAAAGAGGGATTTATCACGGTGCACGATCGGGGACTGGCACAAAAGACTGTTCACTCTCATTATTGAAGAATGGCATACCGTGCAGAGATGCACTTTTCATATCTCATACCCTTTACGTGCTAATATCAGAAGACTAAATTTAGGTTATCCCTCATGTTTTTATGCAGATATTTTGACATTTTATGGTCCCACTGCTTCAAATACAATATCTTTGTGTGAAAACACAATGTTTTTTGTTTTCATATGAAACTGTTGCAGTGCAGCAAGTAGCAAAGCAAAGAAAAGCATCTCCTACACACACAAGAATACATACTTTATTATGCCCACTACATTTAGTAGTATAAGCGTACATACATGCTGCGATTCATGCATTGAGGATACATTTACACTGATACAGACTAGTGTGACAAAAGAAAATTGGGAATTTTCTATTTATTTTGTTTTATAAAATTCCATTATCTATATGTGGTTAAAGTTAGAATGTACTACATTTCACAAATAATGAAAACTGCTAGCGTGTAAGAACAAGCACTCTAATGTAACAGTGACTTCGGCCATACGAAGCTTGTGTGGCACATTTGTAGTGCAAGCGAGTTTTCCCACGCAGGAATACCGTATTTACTCGCATAATGAATGCACTCGCATAATAAACGCAGCCCCTACATTAATCCACTGCAGTCACGCTAACCGACACCTGTCGCCTCCTCACCCGTTAGATCTCTTTCGTTTTTTTTATTATATTGCATTTTGCCGGCCCCCTTCGGCAACCTATGCTCGCCCCCTCCCCCTTGTCCGTTACCGCGTGCCATATTTTTTCCTTTCTACCTGTGCGCGGCACGTTCCTCGCCTTATTTGTGCGCCACAGCGGGATCGACGAACGGTGTGAGTGGAGACATCGCAGCTGATAAGCACAAAGCGAAGGAAGGTCACGATCGTGACCTTCGCTCGCTGTGTGCTTAAAACTGCTTGCATCAGCCGATAGACGGTCGCTTCCTGCGATTACGAAAAAGCCCAACCCCGTGCACGCGATTTTCAAACGACGACGACAGGAATTGCTGTCGCAAAGGGTCATTCGTTGCTATCGCGTCGCAGGTTCCTGGAAAACCATGCAGTAAAAAAATCGCTTGTTGTTCAGAAAAGATCATGATGATTTCCACAACACGGTGGCACCCCCAATTTTCGCTTCGCTTGTTATCCGTGCGTAGAGGAACTTATGTAGAAGCGAGGTGGCGGCCGTATTTTGTCCTTAATCCTGTTATTGATGGTTTGTTTTGATGCTTCGGGGGTAGCTTCCTGCAATGTTGGCAAAGTGTGTCATAGCGCCGCACACTTTTGGGCGCCCTTTGAGATCACAGCAGATACCACTGTTGCGGTTATATGACTGCAAGAAGAGGTAGCCGCAAAATGGTTTTATGGCGTGCACAAGGGGCCCGGAGACAGCTTGCAGAAGATAGCGCCATCAACCACTGAAGATGAGTAAAGTGCAACAAAAAAGCATTTTCCAAACAGTGTACGTGTATGTCAATTGAGAAAGGCTAAGCGACTTAATTTTTTTTTTTGCATTACCGCATTTTTCGCTCCCCCCCGAAAAGTTTTCACAAAATTTACCCCGGGTAATAAATGCACCACGAACTTTGCTCAGATTTTATAAGAAAAAAAAAGTGCGTTCATTACGAGAGTAAATACGGTAGATCACTTACACAACACATTACACTATAACAAGAGTTATCTTTCGAAAATAAAGAAAGGGTTTGCAGTGTAAATTTCAAAGAAATATGACACAGGTACCACCGCTTATTACACAAGAAGTAGATTAAGGTGGCAGACTCGTCTTTCGCACCAAAAAGTGACAAAAAAATTAATTTTTTAAAATTGACATATTTGGCTTTTGCAAGTATTCTTCTATGTCTGCAAATTTTCACACACCAGGAAGTGGTAATATTTTTGTAATGTCATTCTAACTGTCCAGATTTTTGTTGCTGTTAACATGCAGAACCTGCAAAAAAATGGTGAGCAGACTTCGAGGCTTCTTTATAATTTGCCAGCACCTGTGTTAGAAGCTCTGCTACGAATTTATGAGCACCTATACAGTCGACTCTCGTTAATACGAAGTTCACGGGGACCGCGAAAAACTTCGAATTAAGCGGAATTCCAATTACCCACAATGAATGAAAAATACATTTATTTCAAAGCAGTTTATGAGAAAAAAATCTGTGATTGCCGTTTGCTTCTGTTTGCTGAATCTTGCAGCAGAAAGCAAGTCCTGCAGGCTGTATATGTGCCCGAGTGCTTCCTTGGCGTTGCTCTCGGCAGTTAAAAACCACTGCGCGAGGGCAAGGCCTGCGGCTACATCAGCAGCCTGCGGTAGTGGCTCACTTGCGGCGTCGGCGTCGTCAACCTCAGTTTCGTGACTAGGCTCGCCGGGCCGAACCATCTCGACGATCTCAGCGTTCGACAGTGCACCGCATGTTTCTACCAAACTGTCAGTGGCAATGTACTCCTCGAAAGGGACGTCGCCAAGAGCTGGCAGGAGACCAATGTCAAGCTCGCTTGTGTCTTCTTCCCCCACTGTACAAGATCCCAAGTCAAGCATCTGATAAGGCCCGCCAGTTGCATTAGTAAATGCACGTGGAGCTTCGCCCCACATGGAAACGCTGAGTCTGCACATGACCGTAACGAGATCAACAATGAGGCCCGAAGCCGGAACCGCCGGAGCAGCCGCTTCGTGATCTGGGGCGCTGCATGCAACTGCGATGCCATCAGCTGACGCTTTGAGCTGCGGCGCTGTGGTCAACTGCGATGCCCTTGGGTGCCGGTCGGACACGCATTGTTGTTTAGCACTTCGAAAATAGGAAATTTAACAAACATTACGATTTCCTCCGGGAATTCGATTGAAAATAAATTCGTATTAACCGAAATTTCATACCTCTAGCTTCCAATTACCGAGAATTTCTTCCTGTTGAACTGCATGCAGAACTGATGGGACCCCCACTCCATTTCCAATTAACCGATAATTCCAATTAAGTGACTTCGAATTATCGGGAGTTCTATTTTTTTTTTTTTTTTCAAAAAAGCAAAGGTACGACTGTTCAATTTTGAGGCCTCTATATCTCTGCAGCTAGGGAAGGTACAACAATAAAGCTTTTTGCAATGGAAACGTGTATGTGTGTAGAATGCAAGTAAGGGAGCAGAATTTAGAGCACGAGCCTTTTTAATCAAATACTCATCAAAAATGTAACACAATTCCAACTACTTTTGAAAATAGGGTAGTTCATTTTGCTGTAAAATAACCAAGAAAGACTCTTGCATACTTTCACTCTATAGTCATTAGTCTATGTTGGCATATCTAAAGATTAAGGCGGCAGACTCGTCTTTGGGACCAAAAAGTGATAAAAAAATTCATTTTTTAATATTGACACATTTGGTTTCTGCAAGTATTTTTCTATGTCTCTGCAAATTTTCATACACCAGGAAGTGGTAATATTCTTGTAATGTCATTCTAACTGTCCAGATTTTTGTTGCTGTTAACATGCAGAACGTGCAAAAAAATGGGGAGCCGACTTCGAGGCTTTTTTATAATTGGCCAGCACCTGTGTTAGAAGTTCTGCTACGAATTTGTGAGCACCTATATGAGGATTGCAAAACATGCGCACCATGATTGTTGATTTTTAGAGAAGCCCTGTTTTTTTTTCAGTTTTTTCTATTTTTTTCAAGAAAGCAAAGTTACGACTGTTCAATTTTGAGGCCTCAATATCTCTGCAGCTAGGGAAGGTACAACAATAAAGCTTTTTGCAATGGAAACCTGTATGTGCGTAGAATGCAAGTAAGGGAGCAGAATTTAGAGCACAAGCCTTTTTAATTAAATACTAATCAAAATTGTAACACAATTCCAACTACTTTTGAAAATAGGGTAGTTCATTTTGCTGTAAAGTAACCAAGAAAGACTCTTGCATACTTTCACTCTATAGTCATTAGTCTATGTTGGCATATCTTAAATATCACTTTTAATTAAACACTTTATTTTTCTATGGTTGCCTTAAACAATAGGGGGTGAACTTAACTTATCTCAGGAACAAGGTGAGTTACGGGAAAACTAATTAAATGTTTGAAATCAGCAGAAAAAACTGCATAACCCTGTGCAGTTTGAACAAGGTCACTGAAGAAATTAATGAAAAAAATGTTTAAGACCAGTCTGCCCCCCTAACATAGACGAAAAAAATAAAAGAAACATCATTAAAGTATTAATTATAGAATTACTTATCAGTAACTTTTTTAATTACATATTCTCGCACTTTAATTGTTTCAAGGTATTCATAAACAGAGCACATCAAAAACTACAAGTTGGGCTCGGTGGTGTCAGTAAGCGGTCACTGCCATGTTTGTCAATGTGCTCAGCAGATAATCAGTAACATTTCCATCAAGCAGTGTTCCAAAAAAGGAAAAAATAAAGGAGGCTAGAATCTGGATGACGTCATTTGCGTGATTAAAGGCCACATATTGTCAATACTCTAGGCAAACTACATGGTCCTCACCTGATCTGTACAAAGAGAATGCCATTGATTATGTTGAGCATCTCGAGGACGTTGCTCTGAGACGGTGCTTGGATCTGAGCATGGAAAAAGAGGGAAAGATGCCACAAACATTAGAGCAACAACAAAAAGATGGGCATGTCGGAAAGACAGCAATCATTACTATAGCGTTTGACAGAGTAATATATCGGGCCATTATGGCAAACATGGGCAATGCAATGCAGTCATAGATAGGTGAGAAGGAAATGCAGGTTCCATCGAGCCTGACAGATCATGTTCAGCGAGCTACTACAGTTTACACGCGCTGTCATGGATGCTAAGGATGAGTTGAGGATGTAAAGGTTGAGACTGAATTCGCCGACAGGCGCATACGTTGGCAAATTCACTCCCGATTGTACTCGCGCAGATTCAGATCGAGCAGCGTGTCCAGGCGAGTAATATTCTGGCTAGTCCGAGCGAGTAAGAGAAATGCCAGTGAGCCCGAGTGCGAGTGAGTCCAGTTGAGGAAAACTATGTCGAGAGCAAGCTCGAGTGAGCCAACCCTAAGGACGAGGTATATACAGTAAAACCTTGTTAATTCTAAGTCACTGGGGCCGTGAGAAAGCTTCGAATTAAGCGGGCTTTCAAATTAAGAGAACATACAAAAAAATGGCAGTGGCTTAGCTCAGCTATGCCAGGATATACGTAGCGTTAGCAAAGGTTCAGCTGATTATTCTTAGCTTTCCAGATATCATGCTTACAGCTGTTCCAATGACACACACACGGTATACGTATTATGTGGCACATGTATATTTATTTTGCCGGGCAACTACTTCGGGATCCGATGAGTTAAGCTTCTCCGCTCTGCTGCACCGTTGAGCAGCATATGCACTCTTCTTCTCCATGGCTATACCACAGTGGCAAACGCCAGTCAGAGGCGCTATCAAGCGGCTCCAGCGCAGTGTCAGATGGTGACTGCACAGGGAAGGCACGCGCGTCGGCATCCATATGTCTACCAAGGCTATGATGGCACTCCTCTGGAAAGCGCACACCGGCGGCGGCGAGTCGCGCGCGGCCACGGCCGAGTGCGAGGGAGTGCCGGTTCCGGTGTGTGACACCACTGATCGTCTGCTCAGCGCATCGAATTGTGCGCACACCGGCGGCGGAGTATCATAGCGCATGCGCAGACCAGTGCCACGCGAAATTGGCTCAGCGAGGCCAGTGTAGCTAACGCTAGAAAAGTGGGATGCAGGAAACTTGGAACTATTCAAAGTAATCGGTGCTCAGCGATGCTCGGCTTGCTTGCGGCTCCAAAGGTTCCGTTTTTCAGCAATACCTGGTATTTATTTTTCCGCGAACATGGAGGAATGGTGGGCCTAGCTGCTGCCAAAAAAAAAAAAAAAAAAAACTGGTTGCGACTGAAATGTGCGCTTGCAGAAAACATGACATCTTCACTGCAACACAGTAGTGACACGTGGACAGCATGTCGCCTGCTCCTCGCTGCGTCAGCATTTCATGGTGTGACCATTCGCACATTCTTTTTGTTATAATTATGAATTTAATAATGGCCAGCACGACGAAGCTGACAATGTGTTTTGGCTGCAAAAAATTATCTTTGAAACTTTTGAACTTAGTTTTCGAAGTAGGTGTTGCTGGCAAGAACTCCGCTAGCAGTGCAAAGACGCAAATTGCTGGAGCAGCCGGCAATTTAGCGAAAATCGCACACATCGCGATCTCCGCTAAACTGTCCTTTATTAATTGCTTTACAATCCCAGAAAGAATGGGTAAACCATGACCTGCTGACGTTGCAAGAAACATGCGATAAGCTGCCCGCGTGTCTCCACTGTATTGCAGTGAAGCATAGCTCATTTTCCGCAGGCGCACGTTTTGGTTGAGCTGCTACTTATTAGTATCGATACGTTGCATTGCCTTGTGGCAATTAATGGCCGTCGTTTCTGTGGATTCGCGGCGAAACTGGGATCTGGAAGTGGCACACGGCACCCAAAGTTTTTGAATTAACCACGCTGGTGCCGGCCGCCCCTTCAAATTATCCACTTTCATTGCAAAATACGAGACCGCGGAAATCCTTCGAATTATGCGGGATTTCGAAATAGCAGAGTTAGAATTAAGGAGGGATGTGAGTGCAAAAAACTTTTTTCTACTTTGGCTCAATCTCAACTAAACTTGACTATTTAAGGTAGTTTTTCATGCTGATTTCAAATCTGTAATTTGTTTCATAATAGCTCAATTGGTTGAGGAAATATTATGGTGTGAATTTTAATTATTTGCCTATCTCTTACGGGTCTTTTTGGCAATTTCCCCTTAGAAAAATGAACAAGTACATGCATAACTCCAATGCTGAAAACTTGCTGTAGGGAGTGATGCTATTTTTTCCATTTGAAGGCATTTTATAGGCATGAAAATGGACAAACACTTATGATGAATATTTTACACTAAATTCCTCTTATAATCTTTAATTGTAATTTGTAAAGTGGCTCTAGAGAATTGAAAATAGCATCACCCCCTGGATCATTTCAAGGCGAATAAAATGATACCAACTTTGTCACTTTCACTAAAATATAACATGGGAAAAACCCCCATAAGGCTGAGTGAAACGTGCAAAAACAACGAACTGAGAAAAATGCATTTGAAGTTTCCATCAACTGTAACTTTTGCTAAAGTGAAGCTACGGCAATATAAGTGACACCGTTTTGTAGCTCTATATTATATGATAATGACCATGCTGAAATTATGACTGTAGCCTTCCAAAATATTTGTCACAGCTTGTTGCAAAACTATTACATGGTCATTGATGCAGCAGGAGAATTTTTTTTTACTTTTTGGTAAGTGCAGTGAGTTGCAAGAGAAAGGAATGCCCAAAAATTGAACAATAATGTTGTCCTTGCATATACAGTACACCTACACAATGTTCAGGCTGAAAACACACAATATTTATTTTACAAGAAATTGTCACCGTTTGCATGAGGACAGTGCTACAGCATACCGGGGCTATAAGGGGGGTCCCCTGCTGGCTTGTGAAGCTGTGCAAGCCTAGTCTTGGTTGTGTTGCTGCTGAGATGCTTTCTCTGCGATTTTGCAGCCTGTTTTTGTCTTTTTCGAGGCTGCGACGAACCAGGTTGTAGCCCGCGCTGTAGCCTTGCTTCTCGGCAATTTCTACGTAGCTCTTCATTACGCCTTGATCGAAGCGGCTTATGGCTTCTGCAACAGCCCTCTCAATGCTCCGCAAGGATGCATGCTGGGTTTTAGGGGCCTGCTGCCAAATCACAGAGTGCAGGCTTTCACTTGAGTTCTGAGTGATCCCATCACTGCGCCTTTCCAGAAGCGCTTTGACGCTCAGCCGCCTGAACATGGGCTCTAGTGCCTCGCTCACAAAATCAGGCAAGCTGTCTTTGTGTGGTGGGGGCTTCTCATTCTTCGCCACAGCTCTCTGGTACTTGCACCATGAGTCTGGGCATAGCCTCCTAGATTTTTTTATGCCCGCGCAGTGGAGCGGCGGAGGCCGTCCACTGCCCTCTCTCTTCCTCATCGATTTACGCCTGCCTTCTCCGCAAGGGGCGCTCGCACCCCATACTTGTCCGTACACGCTCTGGAGCGTACCAAGCATAGTCAGCATAGCAGCATAGTTCGCTACGCTGCAACGTGTTGAGGCACCTCGAAGCCCTCAAAGTACCTACAAAAGTGGCTCTACAAGCAAAAGTTGTTCCGTGTCCGTCGTGTTTGCCGCAGGTAAGCTTGTGTGTCTTGCGGAAGCAACGGTTTTAATTATGTTTTTTGTTTGGACTATCAGGGAAGCATGACAGAACTCGCAGACAATGTGTACAGTGCTCGCGGAATAAAACAGGGCCTGTAAAGATTCAAAAACAACAAATGGTATATGCAATTTAACATGATAAGAACGCCATATCGCTGCAAATATGACCGCTAATGTTAACGTGGTCTCTGGTGTAAGTGTAAGAGGCAGCCCTACGCCATCGTAGCACGAATTCGGAACGCTGCAAGTGGAAGTACGTTTAACACATAGGTTTAAATTCTCGCTTTTAATTCCTGGAGCATTTTACACTGAATTATTTACATGAACGTTTATTGTTCTAACAGCGTTCTGATCCTTAAGGTTCAGTGTCACTGAATGAAGCGACCGTTTGTTTACTATTCTACGGGTCCATGTGTGAGTTGCTAGCGTCGTCACAATCTATATTGTTTGCTACTCTAAAAACTGATTTACGGTGCATATTCACGCTGCATTACTTTTCACATACCAATTCGGTTTTCTATCTGCAGTGTGGAATCAGTAAGGGTGCTCTGTACCCGACAAGATGCCGTACTGCTGCGTACCACGCTGCAAGTCTTCGAGCAAACAACGGACGCCGGGCATATCGTTCCACGAGATACCAAGCGATCCGGAACTTCGAGCGAAATGGCTAAAGGTCATTTCTCGGGACGACTGGACACCGAATACGACGTCGTGCTACTCGACTGTATGCAGCCCACACTTCGGTTCCTCTGACTTCAAGGAGGGCTGCAAAATTCGCAAACTCAAGAAAGACGCTGTTCCCAGCATTTTCGAAGAGTATCCTCCGTACCTGCAGCCTCCGAAAAAGAGAGAGAGAAGCGACGCGTCTGCGAGAAAACGCGAGGCAGCTGCGCCAGTGAACACACCACCGCGGAAACGAAGAGCAGTTGAGAGCCAACTGGAGACTCCTTCACTTCCTCGCAATGACTTGCCGTCCGTCGACGTCGGCTCTCAAGATTTATCACCGATGGATTGCACCGCAAGCGAACTGCTGCTACCTCTGGAAAACGGCGCAAGCGAGCGCTGCATTACTGCGACCGTGCAGGTGGACAGAGCTGTGCAGGTGTCGTCATTATCCCAGGTTTCAGCAACGGACAAACGAAAGTGGAGACGTAAGGAGCGAGACTTGAACGCACGAATTGAGAGGCTCAAGAACACCGTCGACAAGTACAAACAGGAACTGCAAAAGCTCAAGGAAGAATCCTATGTGTCTGCATTCCTGCAAGTTGTGGAGAAAGTGAAAGAGAAAGACCTGGCTGTTTCAATATTAGTGGAACAAGTTCAGAA